GTATTCAAGGTGGGGATTTCAAGCAATATGCTTGTTAATTAATAAATACTATTACAGTTTTTGCACAACGTGCCAGCTGTTAGGATTCCAATATCAGGGGTTTTCTTTTATTGTAAAGACAGTTGGAACAATAACATTTCAAATTTTAACTTCCTTGCTAACTGTGAGCAACTTTGCATTTTATAATTATGTGACCTAACTATAAAGTATTGGTGCTTCCCAATTCTGGTGCTTTCATATTCCTAACATTCTCAATATATGATCAAATACATTATGTTGAATAAAAAGCACATACTAAGCAAAATCATATTCTACCACTGTAATATATACAGTAAAGGAGAAAATAACCATTATTTTAATTGCTGAATTATAAAAGAAACATTCTTTCATATAAAACACAGTGTATTATAAAGCTATTTTAATTTCTGTAGTAGCCTTCAGAATAACCAGATAAGGATCCAGACATACTGCTAAAACTTTGGAACATCAGCAAGACTTGTGCTTGCCAAAGAATTAATGGTCTATTTTGTTTCAGTCATGATCTCTCCATGCATAGTATTTATAACTTTACATACCAAACTGGTGCTTAAAGATCTGGTTTCAATATCTAATCCAATTTTATCTATAAGTTAATTAACAGTTGAATCCAATTGGTATTAAGATAGCAAAAATGTACAATTTGATTCTGTTTGTACAAAATCGTGTTCATTATATTGTCTGGTTTTCATGACTGAACCATGTATGAGTATTTGATTTTACAGCCTTTCGTTGTGGACAGACTTTGTGATGTATTAAACAGGAGGATTTTTCTGAGAGACATTGCCATCTTTTCTATTCTCAGTTAAAATACTCTTCCTGTAACAAGAACACTGTTCTAACATCAGCTTGGGTTATTTTACCTGTCTACTCATCTGAGCTTAATTCCTGTTCAGCAGTTGTTCAGGGTCACCTTCAACCTACTTATCCCAACCACTATAGTTTCTATCACTTATGCTTTTGGATACCACGTTTTTCGTAGAAATTGAACAACATGAACCCAGAGAAATACCTTCATTAGGAACCTTTGCCTTTTATTAGACCTTGAAGCAACAGATTATCTTAGATGCAATTTCTAATAACTTGTCAGAGATCCTGTGCAATTTTTTCTTATACTGCAACCAGAAAGTTGTTTACTATTCTTTTCTTCCGCATCACATGAAGTTGACGCTTTGCAAATAATGTACCCATAATATCTACCTGACAGTGAAATGCTTTCAAACACCTAAAGTGCTCTTTGGCACCTGAGATCACTGACAACAATGCTTTCTGTACCTGGAGTGCTATATATTGTTGCTGCGTAAATATTGTTGGAAAATTACTGTGGGTAATTTCATTCTAGTTTGCACCCAGCACATTCCCAGTCACTTTCTATATCCAGATTAGAGCAAGCATAGACACAACTCAGTTCAGCTAGCAAGAAAACGTAATTTGAGGTTTATTTACTAAACATCATCCAACACCAAAAACAGTTAATTGGCAAAATGGGGCAAAAGCAGAGAGAGAAAAAGGTATGACCAAGAGGCAACATTTTGCACTCTCTCTCTATCTCTCTAGTTATATATCCAAAGACACAGAACTTTCCAGAGCCATTGGAACAATACTATGGTAATTAGCATGGCCAGCCTGAAGGGAGTAGACTTTGGCTATTTCAGTTTTAACCCTCTTATGTACATAACAGCAGCACGATAAGATGGAAAGTAGGATACCAGGTAATCCGTCCTCTATTCTGTACCCTTAAAGAAACAATTTAGTGGATAGGGATGATCTATCTTAAGAAATATAGCATATATTCAGATACTTAGCCTGTCCACTCAAACTAAAAACCAAATACATAAATAACTGCTCCTTAACCTAGTATGATGGTTCAAAAACTCAGCTACCTTACTATAATTACTGGTTGCTAAATATTTGAGGAATAAGAAGGAATATCCTTGTTTTGCTTTCATATGTATTAGGTCTCAGAAAAATAACACCAATGGTATATTTGTGGTCTGAGACAAATTTTAATATACTGGCACTTGCTGGAAAGATCTACCCAGCAGGAACATTCAGATACTGCCTCTCCATATGCGAGCATTGCTTTCAGAAGAATAAATGTTTCAGAGATCCAAACATTGCCAAAATAATGTAAATGTACCAATAGAGGTAAATATGTGTAGCTAAGGGTTCAACTGTGGAGTTCTTGGGGTTCTCTGAGCTTGGTTCT